CCTAGGTAAGGCTGACATTCTCCAGCAAACCCAGCTGGCGAACCCAGTCCTGATTCAATGGCCCGCAAACTGGCCCAGTGGACGATGCTGTGACCAATAATCCAAACCTTTAAACCCAAGGAACCTAAGAATAAAGAAAGTAAACAAAAAGGGGGTCAAACACAAAAAACTAACAACGTTCCCTGATGTGTCCTCTATAAGTTTCTGATTTCCACCTCCCCACATTCTTTATTCTATGCACAGACAGTCCCCAATGAACAGCTGTTGTGGCTGCCCCTATTCTAAATGAATGGGCAGCAAACTCTGTTGCAGGTAACCCACAGGCCGCAATGGCCTTCCACAAAACACATGTAAATTGCTGCCTAGTTAATGCGGAACCATCCTGATGAATGAGGAGCGGACCAACACCAGGGGATCTCAATTTCAAAAACCTCCTAACATCCCTCACTGGGCAGGGAGCAGCCTGAAGAGTCACTGGCAGCCTTAACAAGGCACCCTGCCCTAACTTTGTTTTTGACCTAGAAATATTAAGCTGCAGGTCAGTGTCCAACACCGATATGTCACTCAGTAGCAGACCCCTAGTATGTCCTCCCACGGCCACTTCACAAACAACTTTGCCCACCCTCAAAGCACCGAAGAATGCTATGGAGTATGCAGCTGCAAACAAGCGAGCCTCATACTTTGACCAACATATCAACCTCAATTTGGCATGAATCCTGCACAGGATATCATAAGTAGCCTTCTGCCGCACTTCCTAATAGGTTGCATTCTGTGCCAACCTTCCAAAGCTTTACGCACAAGAAAGTCTGCACAGGGATCTAAAGCAAATAAGATTTTACTAAAAAATGAAATAGCAGCTGCATGAATTTTAATCGTCTTTGGCGTACGTCCCAGCTGATATAGATTTGCTAAATACTGTAAGACGTGGTCAATGGAGGAGGAGCGTTCACAGCCTATAGCCAATGACTTAAAGCGAAAGGTTGTAAAATCTCTCCAAGCCTTTCTATAGGATCTAAAAGGGGAAGAGGAAACAGAAGAGAATACTCCCTTAACCACTAAACTTTTCCAAGATTCCAGAGGTGATCCGGAAAAAATTCTGGCAACAGCTGTGCCTCTGGAGCCAACTCCCTGAAACGGTCTACCTGAAAACGAGACAATGCATCAGCAATGTCATTAGTAATACCAGGAATGAACTTTGCTGAAAAGGTAATGTTAAACTTCAAACATTGAAGGACAAAGGATCGAAGGAGTCCAGAGACCCTGGAGGAACGAGAAGACTGGCGGGCCAGGATGTTCACGACAGCCTGGCTATCCGTCCAAAAACAAACGCGGTGGTCTCTAAACTCCTCCGTCAAAATATGCACGGCCACTACGATTGGGAAAAACTCAAGAAAGGTGAGGTCCCTCGTGATGGACCTGCCAAGCCACTCCTTCGGCCATTGCTGTGCACACCAATGACCTCTGAAATACAGCCCAAAGCCCAGGGATCCAGCCACATCGGAATGCACCTGAAAGTCTGCATGCAGATTTAGTGTGTTCTGCCAAAGAGAAACACCATTAAATTTGTCCAAAAACAATCACCAAATTTCCAGATCCAACTAACCCCTTTAGAAAGATGCACACGAGGATGAGGAAATTTTAAACCTGAGGAAAGCCTAGCCAGTCAGCCACAGAAAGGATGTCCTGGAGAGACCACCTGGCAAGCAAAGTTTAAGTATCCCAGCAAGGACTGAATTTGCCTCAAAGTTACTTTTTTGAAAGGAATTAACTGACTAATTTAAAAGCATACAATTTTTTTTTTGGGGGGGGGGCACCCTAGATGTTAGAGCCACTGTATCTAGTTCTATACCCAAATATGTTAACTTTGTAGCCGGGCCCTCCGTTTTCTCGGCCGCGAGCGGAACCCCCAACTCCTCTGTAAGGGCCACCAAGGCTTCCAAAAGGTTAAAACAGGAAAGGTCATTTGCAGGTCCAAATAATGAGTGCCCCTGTCAAGCCTGTCCTAAAACGCAAGGCCCAATCGATAAAGGAACTAAAAACCTCAAAAGTGGCACAAGCAACTGAACGCCCCATAGGCATAGCCTTATCAACATTCAATTTTTCCCCAAATTGAAAGCCCAACCACCGAAAATCCAGAGGATTAATGGGAAGTAATCTAAAGGCCGACTCCACATCACATTTTGCTAAAAGGGCACCAGGACCAAATTTACGAACGAGCTTGACCGCTTGGTCAAAAGACGCATATTTGACAGAGCAAAGCTCTCCAGGAATAGCATCATTGACCAAACTACCCCTGGGGTAAGATAGATTATGAATTAAACGAAACTCCCCCGGGGCCTTCCTAGGAACTACCCCTATTGGTGACAAATGCAAATTTTTAATAGGCGGGACGTCAAATGGCCCCGCCATGCACCCCAAAGCTATTTCCCTCGCAGTCTTCTTCCTAGCTACCTCAGGTCTTTCCCTAATGGATTTTTGAACAGGAAGATTCTGCGAAGAAGGAGAAAATGCAACAGGTATGCAGAAACCAAAGGAAAACCCTTCCCACAAAAATCTAGCCACCTTAACATTAGGATAGAATTGTCGCACTGCCAAATAAATACCCCCAACCTTGCCACAATGCCGATTGGCTAAAGGCCAGTGGAAAGTCCCAAAGGCTTACAACATTATCCTATAACATGTAAGCTAAGAAGCCTTAGGTCAGATGTGGGGGATCTCAGGCCTAGGGTCTTAATGCCTTCAGCCCTCACTTTTTGGCATTTGGCATTCTTCCTCGGCTCATAGCTATCAACCTTCAGATTTGAAAATAAGGGACCAGCAGCCTCGAAAATAAGGGATCAGCAGCCAAAATAAGAGATTTTCCGAACACAGGTATGTTCAACTTCTGAGCCCCTCCGAGCCAAAGGCAGAAAACCCAACCAGCAGCCAAACGAAGCCTCAAGCAGTGGTTCTCACAGAGCAGCAACCCAGCAAAGGGGATGCAGCAAGGAAAAACACCGTCACCTCTCCGCTGGGAAGCACTGAGCAAAGGCGAGTCCCCAGGCAATGCAGCTGATTTGATTGGCACAAGGCATGCAAGCTCCACCACCCCCGTCATTCTTAGACTCCTTTTTGGGTGAGCAACACAGCCAAGCAACACAGTTGGAGCCTCCCTCCTCCCTGGCCGGCATGGAGGGAGGGAGAGAAGCTGCTTCCTTTGAAACCCGGGAAATTTAAGGGACATCATCAATAAGGGACAGCAGCGGGACACAGCACTGGGATAAGGGACTTTCCCGCCAAATAAGGGACAGTTGACAGCTATGCCTAGGCTGTTTGTGATTTACACTAGCTTTTGGCGGTGGTGTTCTTTTATGTGTTGGGTTTTTTTGTGAAAGCGGTCAATCCTGGGTGAAATGGGAAAAGATATAGAATGGCATTTTGTTGAGGCTGTTGTTTTGTGGACCCTGTGCAAAACTACAGGCAGCAACAGCACTGAGTCCATGAACTGCCACATGGAAGCACATATATACACATCTACCCAAGAGTAAGGGACACGGGTGATGCTGTGGGTTAAACCACAGAGCCTAGGACTTGCCGATCAGAAGGTCGGCGGTTCGAATCCCCGCAATGGGTTGAGTTCCCGTTGCTCAGTCCCTGCTCCTGCCAACCTAGCAGTTCGAAAGCACATCAAAGTGCAAGTAGGTACTGCTCCGGCGGGAAGGTAAATGGAGTTTCCGTGTGCTGCTCTGGTTCGCCAGAAGCAGCTTAGTCATGCTGGCCACATGACCCGGAAACTGTACGCCGGCTCCCTCGGCCAATAAAGCAAGATGAGCGCGCAACCCCAGAGTCGGTCACAACTGGACCTAATGGTCAGGGGTCCCTTTACCCTTTACCTTTACCCAAGAGTAAATTATATTGAATTCAACTGGGCTAGGCATTCTGTACTTGTCTTTAAAGCAACACCATCACCCCGAGAGCAACAACCTTGCCCTCCTAAAGAGCAGCTTTAGACCTTGCCTCGCCTCCCATTAAAGCTGCTTCTTTGTCAGCTTGGAAAAAAGTTTTTTTTGTTTTGTTTCCAGTGATGGGAGGATCTCATCTTGGCTCAAATTGAATAGTCTTGGTTGAAGCCGAGTGATTTCTTTAAAAATCAGGAAATAGCTTGGCTTATATCATAGTCAAGCTACATTGATTTCCAGGCTTACATCCCACCCATCCAGGCCCAGGCTCTCACTGTATTTCATATAAGTATTATAAAACCCTAAGACTAAGTCTCAGATTTTTTTAAAATAAAAGTTTTGGTAACCTTCATTACTTATATCTCCTTTTCTGTTGGCACTCAGATTGCCAAACTCTCCTGAGGATGAGGCAGAAATTCAATTCAGTTTGCGTTTACAAGTGAGCTTCACACTTTCTGGAACAATACATAAACCAAACAAAAGCCATCCTTCAAAATTCATACTTTTCCCAAATTTGAAAAGCAGTTCTCCAGCCATGTAGTGTGTGGAAAAATGCATACAGTAAATCAGACCAAGATGTGGGTAAAAATAAATATATTAGTGAAAATAACATGCTGTATGTAGAAGATAATTTGTTTGCAAAAACGTGTATCTTAGGTAAAATCGCATAGTAAATTTTTGTATTTATGAAGAAATGTGCACTGAAATGCTGATGAATGTTCTTGAGGATTTTAAAAAACTGCAAATTGATTTTGAAATGTGTAGAACTAAACGTAAGACTGGAAAAATGACAAACTGGAAAAAACCTGAAATCAACATTCATCTGTTTCTATTCATCCTACACTCAAGAAGGGCAGCCTGTTCAGTAACAAGTAGCCACCAGCTCTCATTAGTAATTAACTATACAGAGATAAAGTAATTTAGCCTTTCCAAGGTAACTGCTTGTAACTGCTTGTTTTTGTTGTCTCTGCTTTTAATTTCAGGCTTGTTTGCTTCCTTGCTATTGTCACATATAAAATAAATCTTCTTCTGTATTTGTACATATAGGCTGAAAAACAAGTTTCTTGGAGGGGTAAAAAGCACTGATCAAGGACTTGCCATTATTGACAAAAGCATTTTTCCAGGGTATTAGCATGCTTAGTCTTTTTTCTAAGATGACTTGTGTTTGGGGCCTGCCTCAGATAAAGAACATTGAATCTAATGGAAGCTTCCCCTTAAGCTGTGGAGCTTCATAGGTGACCTCTGAACTTATCTGCCTGTGATATGTGCCACCAGAAGAGAATCTCAACAAATCAAAAGCAGCACAAAGAGAATGGGCAAACACAGGGAACATAGGGTAGATGAGCACCACGGCTCACAAGAATCACAAGCAGTATATATTATCTTGAAACGCTTGTTTTAGGGCTTCATTTTGAATTATTTGGGAAGGCAGCACCAAATTCATTGCATGGTTCTTGAAATTGAGACCATCTGGATAGAGATGTGGAAATGTTTTCAGGTTGTTTCTGTAACATTTTTAAAAAAACTTTATTGTGAATAATATATCTTTCTATTTATGGATTTCATAACTGAGAGAATGAAAATCAAGAAAATGTCCCCCAAAGTCTTGTATTTCTCCGATTTAATCACCATCTACTGAGTTTCTTAACTGAGAGATGGGAGTGAGATCTGCCATGGCCTAGAGTGTTTCCTAGATGCAAAATGTATTGCACAGTGGTACCTCGGGTTACGAACGCTTCAACTTACGTTTTTTAGGGTTACGAACGTTTTTAACCCGCAAGTAAGTTGTGAGAGCTCCCCGAGGCCTCTGCCGGTGCCAGGAGACAAGGCCCGAAATCCGAGGAGGCTGAGGCCTCCCCTGATGCCGGCAGACAAAGCCCGACTTCCGAGGAGGCCTCCATAGGCCTCCGTGGATGCCGGCAGACAAAGCCCAACATCCACAGGGCCTGCAGAGGCCGGGGGGCTAGGCCCCAACATTCGCAAGCCTGCAAAGGCTCTGTGACTTTGCTCCAGCCACAGAAGGCCTCCGCAACAACCCCAAGACATCCACAGGATCCCAGCCCCAAAGTTAGAGCAATGAAGCTGTTAAGAAACAAGAGGAGCCTCTGCCGAAAAGCCCTTTGCCCCACCCCTAGCTGTAGCAAGATGGGTGGCACCTAGCCAGGAAAGCCCACCTACCCTGTGTTGGGGGGGGAGTGGAAAATTTTGGGATTCTGCAAGGGATTTTGGGATTTGTTTATCCTGTGCCTGTGCCCTGTGCTTTGTCTCTGTTTTGTGCCTTCGTTTGGGGGACTTCTGGGGGACTCTGCCTTCTGCCATTGTTTTGGGGATCTGTGGAACTCAGTTCAGCATCCTGGGACTGCTGACATGAAGCAAAGCAGCAATGGCAAGAGAACTGTGATAAATGTTGAGGTAAAGGAGGAAATTATTTCTAAACATGAAAATGGGGTCCGTATAAGTGATCTGGCAACACAGTTTGGGATGCCCAAATCTACAATTGGTACCATCTTAAGAAATAAGGATGCTATTAAGGGGGCCAGCGTTTCAAAGGGTGTTAAAACACTCAAGCAGCGAACACAGACAATGGAAGAAATGGAAAAAAATGCTTTTAATATGGATAACTGGAAAACAGGAGGCTGGTGACAGCATTTCTGAAAGCATAATTTGTGAAAAAGCTTTACAGTTGCATGCTGACCTCATCGCAAACGCCCCTGGACCAAGTGCTGAGATTGAGAGTTTCAAGGCAAGCCATGGGTGGTTTGACAAATTTAAGAAGAGAACTGGCATCCACAGTGTTGTGAGAAATGGTGAAGCTGCCAGTGCCAGCAAATTAGAGGCTGACCAATTTGTTTTGGAATTTAAAGATTATGTTGAGTTGCAGGGCTTCGTTCCCCAGCAAGTTTTCAACTGTGATGAGACAGGCCTCTTTTGGAAAAAAAATGCCAAAGAGGACCTATATCACAAAAGAGGAGAAAGCATTGCCAGGACACAAGCCCATGAAAGACAGGCTAGTCCTTTTATTTTGTGCAAATGCAAGTGGAGATTTTAAGTTGAAGCCTTTGCTAGTCTACCATTCTGAGAACCCCAGGATATTTAAGAAGAACAATATCATAAAAAGCAAATTGCATGTGATGTGGAGGGCAAACAGCAAAGCTTGGGTAACCAGGCAATTTTTCATTGAGTGGGTTCATGAAGTGTTTGGGCCAAGTGTGAAAAAATACCTCCAGGACAAAAATCTTCCAATGCAGTGCCTGCTTCTTATGGATAATGCTCCAGGTCACCCTCCAGGCTTGAAGGATGAGTTGTTGGAAGAGTTTGTGTTCATCAGTGTAAAGTTTTTGCCCCCCAACACAACTTCTCTCATCCAGCCCATGGACCAGCAGGTCATACAGTGGTGCCCCGCAAGACGAATGCCTCGCAAGACAGAAAACTCGCTAGCCGAAAGGGTTTTCCATTTTTTGAGTCGTTCCGCAAGACGAATTTCCCTATGGGCTTGCTTCGCAAGACGAAACGTCTTGCGAGTTCTTGCGAGTTTGTTTCCTTTTTCTTAAAGCCGCTAATAGCCACTAAGCCGCTAATAGCTGTGCTTCGCAAGACGAATATTGAATATGATAAATGGGTAAGATTATGGAACGAAGGTATGAAGTTTACAGCGTGCTCCACCTTAAGAGAAAATTTACTAAAAATGATGTACCAGTGGTATATCACCCCGGTTAAATTGGCAAAAATGTATAAATTGAGTAACAAAGCCTGTTGGAAATGTAAACTAAAGGATGGGGATCGCTACCACATGTGGTGGGCGTGTGATAAGCTGAAAAAGTTTTGGGATCTAATATATAATGAACTGAAGAAACTTTTTAAGTATACATTTCCTTTAAAAAACGGAGGCTTTTCTATTAGGGATAATAGGGGAGGAGGTGAAAAAGGAGGATCGTAAACTATTTCAATATGCAACGGCTGCAGCTAGGATCCTTGTGGCTCTAAGGTGGAAATTACAGGAGACCCCAACGGTGTTGGAGTGGCAGACCAAACTCTTTGAATATACAGAATTAGCTAAAATGACATAAAATTCAAGACCAAAAAGCGACCAAGTTTGAAGAGTGGGGTAAATTTGTTGCATATATAAGAATTAACTGTAGAAGTCTAAAAACTGTAGCAGCGTTAACATAAATCCTGTGATGTGTATAGAAGGCAAGAGAAGATATAAACTAAGAAAACTGAAGCAGGGAAGGAAGGAAGTCCGGGCGTGAACTTATGCAGTGTAAATAAGATGACATAAAATGATGATTGTAAAAGATTAAGTTTTATTTATGTTTGTGAAAAAACTAATAAAAATATTTGGGGGGGGAGAAACTGCACCCACAGCAACAATCAAAGAACTGCTTGCAAAATGGGCTGAAGTGCAAGCTATTGCTGAAAAATATCACCCTGATAAAGCTGCTCTAAGTTATGCTGCTAACACCTACAATGATAACATAATCTCTCACTTTAGACAAATCTTAAAACAATGACAAAAGCAAGTCTCAATCAAAAAAAAATTGGTAAGGAAAAGATCCAGTGAGTCTGAACCAGGTGGCAGTGGTGTAAAAAAGGCAAGGGAACGAATGGCAGGAGAGAAATCACCGATGGTTATTGTGGAAGAGGACCCTGAGCCCCCATCCAAACAGTGACTATCGTCAGCACAGGTAAGGAAAAAAATCACTTTTCCATTTTGTACTGTTTTATTGATTTCATTTTATGGATCAATGGCTTTGTTAGATAGTAAAATTCATGTAAAATTGTTGTTTTAGGGGTCGCTTTTCATCGTCTGGTTCCTGTTGAGTGCTTCGCTGCTAATCAGAGGCTTCCTGTTGAGTCTACCAGCTGTTGGGTCCTGAGCACCCACGCAACACAGAAGTTATATTTGGAGGTTTTGTTTTTGCTATTTTTTTGCATTTTGGTTTGTGTGGCCTTTTTGGTTTTTTGACTGTGACTTGTTCTTCATTTTATGGGACTGACTTGTGACTTTGCTTTTGTGACTGTGGCTTGTGACTTCATTTTTGTGACTTGTTTTTGTGACTGTGTGGAACCCAGTTCAGCTACTGGTTGATTGTGTGGCTGCAGAAATTGATAAAAGCCCCCCCCCCCATCCAAACTGACTATCATCAGTGCACAAAAGGGGGGGGGAAATGCTAATTTTTTTTCATCTAAAATACTGTCTTATTTATTTTATAGTACAGTACATTGATTATTGCCTTCATTTTATGGTTCAATGGTCTCCTTAGACAGTAAAATTCACGTTAAATTGCTGTTTTAGGGGGCGTTTTTCATTGTCTGGAATGGATCAATCCACTTTTCATTAATTTCAATGGGAAAGTCCGCTTCAGGTTAAATACGCTTCAGGTTAAGTACGGACTTCCGGAACCAATTAAGTACTTAACCTGAGGTACCACTGTAGTGACTCAGCATCCTGTAGTGACTCAGCAGTCCTTTCTTATTAGTAATCATTGTTGACCAGAAGGTTCCAGGCTATCTGAGCCCTCCTTATATAGCTGCATGCAGGTGTGAGAGGTGTTATTTTTGTTTCAAACATTGCAAATTTTGGATAAGATGGATTGTTTCAAGAAGTGGCAGAAAGATATTTCTAGATTTGTTTGGCAGGGCAAGAAGCCTCGAATAAAATTTAAGATATTAACTGATGCCAAAGAAAGAGGTGGATTTGCCCTGCCAGACCTTAAACTTTATTATGAATCAGCTGCTTTTTGCTGGCTGAGAGAATGGCTGCTTCTTGAAAACACTGAAGTGTTGGATCTAGAAGGTTTCAATAATGCATTTGGTTGGCATGCATATTTGTGGTACGATAAGGTAAAAGCACATAAAGCGTTTAAAAATCATATTGTTAGAAAAGCATTGTTTAATGTTTGGATAAGATATAAGGATTTGTTAGAAAAGAAAACCCCAAGATGGTTGTCACCAATGGAAGCGAAGGCACAGAAAAAACTCAATATGGAGGCCAAATGGCCGAAATATTGGGAAATTCTGGAACAAGATGGAGACAGAATAAAATTGCAGAGCTTTGAAAAACAAAGTGCGAGATTGGCTCCATTATTACCAAATAATGTAGGCATACAAATTGGACAAAAAAGTTGGTTTCCAGGTGGAAAAATCAAAATTGGAAACAGAATTGTTAGATCCAAAAATCAAGAATTTGTCAAGAATGTATAACTTGCTGTTGAAATGGAACACTCAGGATGAAATGGTGAAATCTGCTATGATTAAATGGGCACAAGATGTTGGACATAGCATAATGATGGCTGACTGGGAACAGTTATGGACCACAGGTATGAAATTCACGGCATGTAATGTCCTAAGAGAAAATATAATGAAAATGATTTATAGGTGGTACATGACACCAGTCAAGCTTGAAAAAATTTACCATCTGCCCGACAATAAATGTTGGAAATGTAATGAGACTGAAGGTACATTCTTTCACCTTTGGTGGACATGCCCAAGGATTAAGACATTCTGGGAGATGATTTATAACGAAATGAAAAAGGTATTTAAATATACCTTCCTGAAGAAACCAGAGGCCTTTCTCCTGGGCATGGTCGGCCAATTAGTGCTAAAGAAGGATAGAACTTTTTTAATGTATGCAACAACAGCAGCAAGAATACTCATCACGAAGTATTGGAAGACACAAGATTTACCCACCAGGGAAGAATGGCAGATGAAGTTGATGGACTATATGGAATTGGCGGAAATGACTGGCAGAATCCGAGACCAGGGAGAAGAGTCGGTGGAAGAAGACTGGAAAAAGTTTAAAGACTAAACGACTAAACAACAACAAAGAAATGGTATAAGGAATTAAGTATAAATAGATTAATAGAATATTAAAGGAAAAATAAGGTTAGAATGTGTTAAGATAATTATAGGATAGAAAACAGAGGAAGATGGAAAGGAATTGCTGAAACAACTAATAGAAGTGGAATACAAAAAGGGAGGTGTGAGGAGGTCGTGGAAATAAGTGAATGAAAGAAAAGATACTGAAATTGTTTGATGTGTTTTAAATTGTTTTTGTTTGGTTATGTTAGTTTAATGTGTCAGTGTTATGTAGTGTTTTTGTATTGTATTGTTCTGTTCTTTTTTTCTTTTCTTTGTAGTGTTGTGTTTAAATTGTTGGAAAAGTAATAAATATCATTTTCAAAAAAGAGAGAGAGAGAGAGAGTCAGTCTGTCTTCCAGTCTTTGTCATTTCTCAAGCTATGCAGTCCTACTACTTACTCCTCAGAGCAATACGGCCGAGATGATGCTATGAAATCAGCAGGACTTAACAAGAGACCCTTAATGGGAGATCTGCTGCAGTGAAGGCTGAAGGAACTGCTCCCTGCTGCAAGGCCTTCTCCAGCTGGCCTTGGAGCAAGACCCAGACTCACTGGAAAAAAACTCTTTGGTTGGAGCAGAGTGTAGGTGCTCTGTTACTGGGGTACTGGCCCCTCTTGAGTGAGAGGTTGGTGCCATGTGCAGACTGCTGTTGGAATGTGCAGGTGCAACACCTACAGTATGAATTATTTCCCATATGCTCTATGGAGTAGCAATATGGGGCATGGATCCAAATGCTAACAAAGCCTTAGAACAAATTCCTCAGGAAAGTGCTCTCGCTCCCCAGTGGGACCCCAGCTGCTCTTCTCTGCTTGGAAGTGGACATGACAACAATACGGGCTAGAACTGACTATGTCTAAACAATGTGAAAAGACTTCATTCTCTCTCAGAGGAGAGATTCCCTGCTATGTCCCACACAGAACAGGAACAGACCAAATGTTGGAAGGATGGCATCCAATGCCTCTTCACCCAATATCAATTACAAGATCTTCAGGTGGTCATGAAGATGGATAAGAGGCACTTATGAGATTGTCTCTTCCAGTCCGATGCATAAAGGGATTTAACCATGATTGTCTCTACCAAAAGTTCACCATGGTTCCCACTTATCAAAATGGAGCACAGCCGAGCTAGTTATCTAACAAAGCTCCCACTTGCCGTACTAAGAATCGCTTTTACAGAATTACAATTACAATCGATGACCTTGGTGGCGGTGGATGGTCGGTACAGCAAAGTACAGTACAAGGAGAGACTCTGTGTGGGCAAACATGTGTAGAGGACCTATACCACTATTTATTGCAATGCCCGCTATATATAGAACCAAGAGACCGATTTATAAAACCCCTGCTTACGAATGGAACACACTTGAACAGGGCGGAAAGGGTGAAATGGCTGCTGAGTGATACTGATGACTTCGTAACTTAGAAAGTAGCACTATATGCGTTGGCAGCTAAGAAGATCAGGGGAAAAGAACTAGATAAAATAGTGGTCAATTGCAAAGGTGATTCGGACATTTAAGCTGGCACATTCTATCTGAGAACCCCCTGCTATTCTATCGTATGCAACAAATAATTTCTAGGAGACGTGACCGTAGTTTATTGTATTTGCAGTGCCTGGTGTTTTTATGGTTACTGTTGTTTTTGTTTTTGTTTCCTTTTTGAATGATGCCATGGCCTTTGGCTAGTGCAATAAAATTTATGATGAAGATGAGTTACTGGCTTAGCCTCATGGTCTTGTCTTGTCTTGTTTTGCCCTTGCCCCTGCAAAATGGTGCTGTGGTTTTCTGGGAGTCAATTTTCATACCACCCACTGCCTAGGCCAGAATGACACTACCCAGAGTGCCTTTGTCACTGTGATTAGACAGGTTTGAAGTATACTTTAAAACCATTCTCTCTATAGATGTCTTGAGTGGCAAAGGGGGTTTAAAACCCATTGGGCAGTGGGGAGCTACTCACACATTTTGGACTGGGAGTGAACAACCACCAGATCATTTCTGAATAAGAAGGGCCTGGGTGGGATGTTTGTTTCTCATGGATCTGTGCCTTCTGCACTTTGAGGAGGGGCCCGTGTGTGTCTGCATTCCCATCCCCTTGCTTAAAAATAAAATATCAACACTACTCATAAATGTCAGCTGTTTTGGCCTAGTAAACCAGTGGCAACCTCAAATTGAAGATTGTAATAGGGCTGTGGAGAGGAGGTAAACTCTGAAACATACTTGGCCTAACCACTGTAACAGGAATGTACACTGTGAAGCTCTTCCTCATACGTTATTGGGCTCTAGTTTCCACCTGCCTCAATCAGCATGGCTGATATCCAGGAATGATGTTATTTGTAGTCCCACCTGGAAGACCACACGTTCAGCCCTGCTCCAGAATGCTGAAGAGATTCACATCACATCTGTTCCAGTTACAGATAGGTAGCCGTGTTGGTCTGCCATAGTCAAAACAAAACAAAATTCCTTCCAGTAGCACCTTAAAGACCAACTAAGTTAGTTCTTGGTATGAGCTTTCGTGTGCATGCACACTTGTGTGTATCTGAAGAAGTGTGCATGCACACGAAAGCTCATACCAAGAACTAACTTAGTTGGTCTTTAAGGTGCTACTGTGTATCTGAAGAAGTGTGCATGCACACGAAAGCTCATACCAAGAACTAACTTAGTTGGTCTTTAAGGTGCTACTGGAAGGAATCACATCTGTTGTTATCATTGTTAATGGCTGCTAAACCTGGTGGTTGCATAAAGCACAAGAAGGAGGTATCAGTGGGATTTGTACAACTAAGATTTGCCAAAGTGGGGGGGGGTCCCAAAGGGAAGCAGCCCAATAGGCATGGCATCCAGGTGCATTCCAGGTAGCTTTGGACAAAGGGTATCACACATTGAAATGTATTACTTATACTACAGCTAAATAAGCTCTCCCAAGCTTACCTTTGATTAACTCAGAAATTTACAGACTACTTTTTCCTCCTTTTTGAGCCAATCCAGAGGCTCTGAAAAATGTCCCTACCTGTCACCATTACCCGTTCTCTACCCTCAGAGGTCCTCAGACTTCAGAGCGCACACACCTGTGATATCTTTGTCTCCAAGTAGGGGTAGTAATAGGAGATGGAGGAGGAGCAAAGAAA